AAAAAAAAAAAAAAAAATTTAAATTTTTGCCCCTATGTTCGAACCCAGCGCCGAGTTCATAAGAACCCAGGCGTTGGGCTCCTTCGAACCCAGCGTTAGGTTTCAAGGAACCCAGCACCGAGTTCGTAGAACCCAAGCGTGGGTTCCTTCAAACCTAGCACCAGGTTTGAAGGAACCCAAGTGTTGGGCTCCTTCAAACCCAGCGTCGGGTTCAAAGGAACCTAAGAACCCATGACCCCAATGGAAAGAGAATGGGAAGGAGAAAGGAAAAAAAAAAAGGAGTTTTTTAAGTTTTTTTTTGTCATATTAATATTTTTTACCATATTATTATTTTTTTCCATATCACTATTTGTTTGCCATGTTGTCTTCCACATATTTTGACATGTCATAGTATCACCATGAATTAATAGGACACGTTGTGCATTTTTAACAGTGGGAACCAAATTGGGGTTAAAATGGTAAACAGTAGAGACCAAATTAGGAAGTTTTTGAGTTGAGGAACTCAATCGGGGTCCGTACAATGTTGAGGGACCAAAAATGGAGTTTAACCTATGTAAAATACTTTTGTATTTAGCTATTAACGATAATTTATTAGAAAAATTAGATTTACATAATTGTAATGAATGAAAATTTTTACTGTAACTATCGAATAAATATTCAAAAACTAAAATGAAAACCATTATTCCTCTTCCTCACACTTAAATTCAAAGAGATTTATTATTATTATTATTATTATTTGAATTTTTCATATCCTTAACCAGTTATCACTGTTATAGAGAGGAATTTTAACGACAACACCTTTAATAATAATTCAATTTAAAGTCTTATATTAAGTGCAATTTTACTACTGAAATATTGATAACGCCCGAAACAAAATTTATTATAGAGAGGAGCTTTATTTATATTATTTTGGTAAATTCACTGCCAGACTGAAAAACACATTTATTTTCAAATTGTTATTTTTATTTTTCCATTGCAAACAGATATATTTTCTATTTTTCACAAAAAGAAATTTATTTTCTCCAAAAAGCAGAAGTGCAAAACAAAGGAGTGGAGCCCCCAAGTCCCCAACTCCGAGAAGTGAAAATGGGAGGAAGTTCCTGGCAGTGTCAAGTGTGCAACGAAGCACAGTCCAAGTACAAGTGTCCTTGTCTTATTCCTTAGTAAAGCTCTCTACTAATATTTCCTTCTAATTTCTATCATGGATTTTTTCTGGGTAGTTAGTTATACAACTTATACTCATTTTGTTTTCTTTTACCTTCCTGCAGCTGCTCTCTCCCCTGTTACAACTTACAAGAATCACTAAGGTATAAAGCTAATAATTGGTATGTTTGTTCCTGTTGTTGGTTTTTGTTCTAATTTTGCAAACCCTGCTAATGGATTGCTAAATGGGATGCTGGAATGGTTTTTTTTTTTTTTTTTTTTTTTTTTACTCTTTATTTCTTGGGTGTATATCAAGTTGATACGTCAAATATTCCTAATCTTTAAGCTTTGAAAATGGTAATTTTAACTATTTCAAGTTTGTTGTTTTTTTTTATGTAAAGATGCAATTGGACCCATAGTTTTGCATTGGTAATAACTGCAAAAATCAACACTTATTTTGGTTTGTTGGGTCATTTGATAGGAAGGTTGCAGGGTAACAAAACCAAACCGATGGTACATACTGCTAAGCTTGGTTATTGAAGAATGTATTTTTGGAAGTCTATCTGAGTTTTGGCATCATACTTAGGCTATGGTTGCACTTTTTAGCTGAAAGTGACTCTCATGTTTGCGGTACTAGACAGAAGAAACTAATGAGTGTTTGTAAAAATGATGCAGAAAACCCTTGCGCTAAACCAGAATCTGCTGAGGAAAAACTGTGTAAGAAGTTTCATATTCCAACTGAAGGCTTTCTGATTGCTGAGTTCCTTGCCATTGGCCAGCGATTTTTGTCTTCTTAATATGTTTTGATGTTTTTTGGATTTATATTGTTGATGGCAATAATTTCTTGCCACCTTTGTTCTTCTTTCGGTCTTTCCTTTTTCCTTCCCTACAAATCCATTCATTTGCAGCCTCTTATCGCTGGCAGTGGTTGCACAGAAAACTGCTAATTTTATTGTTTCATGAATCTTGATATGGAAAAAGAAACATGCTAGATGGCTTACTTTGAGGCCATTTTGAATAGACTAATTTTTGGATGAATTAGAGATTATTTTAATGGAACCTTAAATGAAATAATAAATAATATTCCTGTCCTCAGAATGTGCTCTTATCTCATAAAATTTACTTAGAACTTAGAAGCACTATTTTTTCTAGCAACTGTTTTATATCTTACTCTTTTTTTATCGTTTTTTTCAGCTTCTGTTCCTCAATTCCAGGCAGAGAGGCCAGTAGATGTTGATGGACCAAGTAAGGTGTTGCAGAAACTGCAACGGCATATGTTATAATTATTACTCCTTATCCCTAAGAAGGGGAGGGAGGGGCACACAATTACATCAGCAAAATTATGGCATAGGTATTATGAAATACTAAGATATAAATATTGACAACCATCTTAGAGACCAAGAAGTATAGTATAACAAAAAATTGATGACAGAAGCCTGTAACTGGTATGGATTTTGTGAGAGAAGGTATCCAGTATGCCATAGTTTATGGTTCAAGCAGGCTGTAGCCAGCATAGATGATTTAACAGTAGAATTTAAAAAAGGAATATTAAGCCACATGGTTGTGGAGTTTTGGTTTTCTAAACTAGTCCAGTGATAGTTTGACCCACTTTTAATATCCATTCCTTTTGGTCAAAGATTTTCTTGTTAGCCAAACTATCTGGTTAATGTAATCGGCATTAGATTATAATTTTCAGTAGATATCAAAGTAATTTTTTCATATTCAGCTAAGTCATTGGAGTTCCCTATTTTTGCTCGGTAGAAAGGTTAATATCTAATCTGGCTAAAGCTTGCTAGTCACTTAGAATGATTAACTGTTTCCATATCTCTTCTAGTGTTGGAACCAGTATTTTTGTAGAGCGATTTACATCTTTTACCATGCTTATTCATGCAGCTTCTTCCAGTGAAATTTGCAATGCTTTAAAGTATGAGCATCTTCAAAAACTTATCTG